CTGCTTTGGGCCAAGAGATCTCTACCTTTGGTTATACACGGACCTAATGGCCCATAGCAGCAGGGGCCCTATTCTCCTGCAGTACAGGTGCCTCCAGGGCCGTAAGCGTTCTTCAAGTCTACAAAGCACATGCAGACTGTTTGCACTGTTCCTCCTAGGTCCAAGTTTGGACAGCTGGCTGGAGGTTCCCTTCCAGCATCCTGAAATAAACTGGGCAGAATAATACCTCAGTAACTGGAGCACACGCTCCAGGTAACCAAGACCCCACAGTGTCTAGTCTTTAGCATCACATCCAAACCCAGTGTCTTGGCTGCAGGGAGCTTCTCAACTCCCCCAGTGACCTCTGCCAGCATACCAGTATAATTCATAAGACTTTCCCACAGTCCTCAGGCTCTGCTTCCTCTGCGTCGGCTACTTTGACTGGAATGAAGCGTTCCTCAAAGTACTGTTTCCACCACCAACAGCATCTCAATATCAGGTCATCAGAGTCCTTCCTGACTGCAAATGGCCTGTGTCAAGTCCTTCCAGGACAGCTTGCCAGAACTTCTTTGTGGGCTGCCCAAAGTAGTCCTCCATGGCCTCCCTTAACTGTGCTCAGACTCTATTTTTTTTTCTTCAGCAACTGCCAGTGCCACAGCCCTTTTGGGGCAATACCCATTTTCTGCTTCACGAGACCCCTGGGCCAACCAAACCAAAGAGGCTCCTTGATCAGCTTTATGGCAAAAACTTAGAGATACTCAAGCAGAATAGCTCTAGTCCGGCCACCCAACACCTATTTTACTCCTAGCAAAGTATCATAGAAATAAACAGATATTTATTTAACAACTTTGTGGTCAATTTTCCAATTTAGAACCCCCACTTTACAGTTCTGTATTTTGACTGTGGGAGTAAAACCTAAGCAGAGAAATGGGGTTCACACAGGAGCCCTCCTGGAGTGAGGCGAACGTGCTAACCACTGTATCACCACACTGTAGCAGCACGCTGGAATAGGTTGTGCTTTGTTAGTGCAGTACAGTACAGTGTAACAGTAGAGGGGAAAACTGAGTTTCCAATAATATCCATTGACTTACTAAGCGTGCACGAAAAGCTGATGGAAACAGTGAAGCTTTTCTTTTCTTGGTGAGTTAAGTCCTTATACTGTAGAATCAAAACTCATCCATCAGCAGCCACCTTCAAAGGGCCTTGAGCAGCTACTGGAGCAGCTCTTTTTAAAGCATTTGAATGTCATCGGTCACGTGAGGATTAAACCTTCATGCACAGAATCACCGAGGATAAAAACACAAACGCTGGTTTGCTTAACAAACGTTTTCCTTGAAAGTTCTACTTTCTAGCATAATTACTGCTGTGGCACAGTGCTTTCCACGAGCACCATGTTTCTCTGCTAATACCTCTGGTTTCATTCTACATCTATCGTTAAGCCCTGACCACATATGCAGTCTGCTGGCAACTACACAGACAGTCAAGAGGCTTCAAACTTGTGCACTGCAGCACAACTTCAAGGTGTACAAAGAGCCCAGTCAGCCCTTCTTCAGTAATATCAGCTCAACCTGCAGATAAATGGGCTGTGAACCGAATAAACAGCGGTCACATGTACAGCCCAGTTTTCAATTACCTTGCGGTTAACCTCGCCAAAGAGGTCAGAGTCACTGCTCAGCACAGCAGCTCGTCCCTGCCGCTGTGTTTCAGTGCTGCTCCGTGCTTCTCTGCTCTGACGTCTTTACCACACTGTTCCTCCTCACAAACACTTGGTCCAACAGTGCATCGCTCCAATCACATTTGCATTAGGACAAGATGGTGAATGGCCTGGTCTACGTGGCGCTCTAACTGGTCTAACTGGTCCACGTGGCGCTCTAACTGGTCCACGTGGCGCTCTAACTGGTCTAACTGGTCTATGTGGTGCTCTAACTGGTCTACGTGGCGCTCTAACTGGTCCACGTGGCGCTCTAACTGGTCTACGTGGCGCTCTAACTGGTCTACGTGGCGCTCTAACTGGTCTAACTGGTCTACGTGGCGCTCTAACTGGTCTACGTGGCGCTCTAACTGGTCCACGTGGCGCTCTAACTGGTCCACGTGGCGCTCTAACTGGTCCACGTGGCGCTCTAACTGGTCCACGTGGCGCTCTAACTGGTCCACGTGGCGCTCTAACTGGTCCACGTGGCGCTCTAACTGGTCTACGTGGCGCTCTAACTGGTCTACGTGGCGCTCTAACTGGTCCACGTGGCGCTCTAACTGGTCCACGTGGCGCTCTAACTGGTCCACGTGGCACTCTAACTGGTCTAACTGGTCCACGTGGCGCTCTAACTGGTCCACGTGGCACTCTAACTGGTCTAACTGGTCCACGTGGCGCTCTAACTGGCTGAGAGCAACATTCACAGCTTCACACAGATTTCATGGAGTGCACTCACACTGTGGGATCAGCTTTGGGACTTTGGGAATCAAACTACTGACCTTCTGATTGGTGCATGCTGAGTTCCTGCGCCTCGTTCTAATGAATTCCTCCTCTACCTTTTATAGAGAAACAGTTTGTATATAACTGCAAACCCTTCCTTACTGGCTTTGTGAAGATTCATGGCGATGATAAGATATTACTGCTGATGATGGTTTACAGGCCAGGCAGGTGAATTATTAACTCTAAGAGCTGCTATAAATAACCACCACTGAACAAAGCAGTCATGCATATGGACAGCATCCTTTGGCTCACTGCTAATGTGATTTACACACACGTCAGATTTATCCATCGTCTTCTTTTCATCTTCTCATTACTCTCTTACGTATACAACTCAAAGGCGGTGCTGAGGTGTATATTTATGCTACACGGGCCACATGTGCTGCTGTGTGTGATGCATGATCCAAAGGCTTTCATGAACTGGGTGCACACTGAGATCATTCGGGTCCAAGGACACATCCATACATGTATTTGGTATTTTGGCAGATTTTTCTGGATTCACATGCAGTTCACAGAATAAGATGCAAGGTTGAGTCAGTGACAGGCTAAAAATAGACTTCTCCACTTATTAACATTCCTCCATGAACTGACATGTGACAGCACTGCATCACACTGGCTTATTGGAAATTAAGTTCTGTCTCTTTCTACAGTTGGATAATCACTCTCTATGGGAAATATCCAGGTTGCTTCCTGCGCACGTCAGTCATCATTACAGGGAATCAGCAGCTCAGACAGTGAACTGATGATTGCTTATCACAGCAACAACATGCCAGAGGGACTGGATGTGTCTGAAACATGACTGGGACCTGTTTGCATCAACTGGACACAAAGACCAAACATCAGAACTTGTTTTTCAAAGACTGTATATTTAATGAAAAATGTAAATTATCAAGTGGGATCATGAGGTGATGTGCTTTGCCTACAGAGAACACTGTGGCCACAGCGTCCATGCTGCTCTACCCCACTTGAAGCTGCACACGGCTGCTCCTACCATTATCCTCCAGGGCCGCCACAATCGATTATTCTGATAGTCGACTAGTCACCGAGTATTTTTGCGATTAGTCGACTAATCAGATCATCATCCATTGGAGTAAAACTACAGCTTATTGCACCAGCAGCATCTGCTCTTATATAACTATCATTAGCTTACAGCTTTAAGTGTTTAAGGTGCTAACTACAAATAAAGACAAGATGATAGTTTATTACATTTTAATGAAATCTGCAGATTGTTTGAAGTTTAATAAACTCCTTTCTATCTAAAATATAACAGGACACCGGAGTAAATTCTGGAGCATCTCACACTTCTGATAATCAGCTGTCTGCTTGATGTTTATTCAGCTGTGTAAAAACTTTAATCTCAGCCAAACCGATTTACTCAGGAACAAATAAAACACTGAAAAAAGTCAAACAACAACATATTTAAGTTATCTAAGTGACTCATATATCATGTTTAACCTGAGCAGCAAAAGACGGCGGTGGGTTTGAAAACGATTTGCCGGGAGTCCGGTGTTCTCACGGCTCTAGTGACCCTTGACCTCCCGGCTAGCTATCGAGCTAGTGGGTAACAGACGTCTCCGAAAACTTTGGAGCGCTTTTGAAAGTATGCGGTGTCCTGATAAACTGAGCAGATATTTGAGGTTTACACAGCTACATTCTCCATGAGAATATGTTAAACGTTTATTTTGTGACCAGAAAGAATAATAAGAGTAATATTAAAACTAACTAGCTGCCGCCATTGTTGGAAACTGAGCTGGGCCGCGCTATGAATTCTGGGACACAGCTTCTTCTTCTTCGGGGTTTAACGGCAGCTGGTATCCTTGTACATGCAGTGCTGCCATCTTCTGTTTCACTCCGTTATTACACTCTTAAATCCTGCTACTTATTCCTGCGTCTTTTGTGATCTTACAAAGCTTCAAACGAGGCGCCGACTATTAAATTAGCCGTCGACGATTTTTATAGTCGACATAATCGTGACTAGTCGACTGTGGGGGGCCAGACTCAGTACTGGCCCCCACAGGGCTAGAGCCCCCTGCTCCACACTCACCACAGTAACACCTTTGTTAAGTTTGCAGACGGTGGTGGGACTCATTTCTGGAGGGATGAGCACGCCTACAGGGATGAGGTGGAGCAGCTGACAGCGTGATGTAGGAACAACAATTTGGTCTTGAACACCACAAAGACCCCTGAAAACATCCAGATGAACAGAATCTACATTTTAGGATTTCCTCACCTGGATGATTGCGCGTGCATCGAGACATCAGGGAGGACCTGACATGGGAAACACCGCTGAGGTAGTGAAGAAGCTCCGAATAAGACCCGACTCTCAGAGAGAATCACACCCTGACTAACTGCTCAGCTTTTCAGAGATCCCACAGTTCCCACAGAGCAGGACATCACGTCTGGGACTTTGTCCCCTTGATAATAAACACCTTCACTTAGAAACTGCATTTTGTGTTTAATGGTGTTGTCTTTGACTATTTTAATTTGTTTGATGATCTGAAACATTGAAGTGAGAAATATGAACTGAGGACGGGGAACGAGGAGGAACACTAACCTGTCTGATGGTCCGGGCCACCAGACTCTCAAGAACCGGGCCTCGATCTTCATGCAATAGATGGACTTCATCCAAGATGAGGAGCCGCACAATCTGTGACAGAGCCACATCGCCAACACTCTTCCTGGTCACAACGTCCCACTTCTCCGGAGTCGTCACCAACATCTGAAAACAGGACAAGGTCCTCTATAGATGATCATGCGTTTCTCCCCTTCAAGAACATGTTCTATAATAAAATGTATGTTTCTCCAGTAAAACGAAAGGAAGTGCAACATCAGCAAACCTGAAAAACTAAACAAAGAATCAAACATGACACGAGCCACTGCTGCAGAGCCTCATAGTGCGTATGGTGCATTTGTCTGTAATGTATTTGACAAACATCGTCCTTTAGTGGAAATCACTGAAAAGCATCACGGCTCAAATAGGCCACGGATCACAAAGGCGACAGATGAACAGAAATAATCTATGTAAGAGATTTATTAAGTACAAGTCATATAAAAATAGATTAGTAAATATTAAAAGTACTACCACACACATTATTGGAGCAAAGCAGGAGTGGATCACAACAAACATGGAGGTTATTAAATCGTATAATCAAAAAGGGCTCGAAAAACAAGACATCCAGAATATCTTAGAAAAGATGAAGATTGTGCTTCATAAAATTAACGACACTGCAAATGAACTGAATGATTTCTTTGGACATGTTGGCTTTAATGTAGCACAAGAAATTCAAGAGTTAAGAAATAATAACGAGCTAAATAAACACATTACTCAGTTCATTGGTGCTGTGAGTCACAGAGGAATACTTGATGTTCTGAAGACAACTTTAAAAAGGCCACTGATTGTTTCAGTATTGACGTGATATTAGTTAAACGTATTGTAGCATAGTGCAAACTTTCACATACATGTGTAACCTGGTACGTTTCCCTCCAAAATGGAAAAAGCCACAGAGAGGGTTAGGCTTACCCACAACCGACTACAGATCAATAACTCCACAGTTCTCAGAAATCTTAGGAAAATGATCTGTTAATAGACGTGGTAAATATATTGAGAAACATAATAAGTGATAATACGGCAGAGCGGATATGCAACAGATAATAAGGAACATACTGCTGGTGTTTTATACACTTTAACATTGATCATATTATATTACTGAATGAACTAGACAGATATGGCATAAGAGGGATCGCATACACGTGCATGAAAAGTTACCTGGATCAATACGTGCAAATCTAATCAGCTGAAGGTAACCTGTGGTGTTCCTCAGGGCTCTGTGCTGGGCCCTAAACGATTCATGTTATATATAAATGTGTATTGTTTGCTGATGATACCACTGTGCATCAATCAGATAAAAACCTAGAACAGCTTCTGACTGCAGTGGAAACGGAGGTAACTATAAGTTATTGTTAAATATAAAACAAAATGTATTATTTTTGGCACCAGACAAATGAAACGTGGCTAAAATCAGGGTTGAGCTGAAACTGAAAGAGTGAACGAGAATAAATGTGTTGGAGTGATAACTGATGATAAGCTGAGCTGGAAGTCTCATATGAACCATGTGAAACAAAACCTGTCAAAAACCATTAGCTGTTAGCTATGTAGAGAATAACAAAGCAAAGCATGAGCTGAACAAGAAATCATTACTTTATTGTTCTCTGCTTCTCCAAATATGACTTATTGTCTAGAGACACGGGCTAATGCATAGCCAATAGCTTTCTGATTAGCCTGATCTGGTGTGGCGGATCATTGACAGATCTGAATGCTCGTCAAAATAAATCAATTTTAAAAGTGTGTAGACGGTAATCTGGATACAGATCCCTTTATATACAGTGACAGTGTGAAGAGCTGCACCTTATTTTTCATCGTATAGTAAAGTTCTGTATTTACATGTAAAGGTTTGTAGGTTACATCCCTCCATCCTGGGCATGAGCGCTCTTGGATTGAGCCCAGGCTGTTGGGCTGCTGCGGTCCTGGGCTGCAGGGTAACGACTGACTCGGTCATCTACGGACGTCTCGGACACGTCAGTGAAAAGAGGAGCTGAACCCCACTTCATAGTGAGCTGGACAGACGCTGCACAGGCCTGGTAGATCCAAGAGTTTGATAAGCGTGTGCTGCAGTTTCTTACAGCGACCTCCAACTCCCACCTCCACCAAGAGCTTAGTTGGCGTGTAGGCCTGTGGGGGCTGAACCCCGGCTGACAGGTACAGGTGGGCCAGCTGGATTACAGCCTTGTGGCTGCCGAGGCAGAGACTCGAGAGTGGGAGTTTAGTGAGGCCATGGAAGTGTTCAGTTTGCCCACAGTGTGGTCGGACTCGGTGTTGTAGCTGTGCCTCTGTACACCACCACAGCTGTTTAGGAATTACTGCCATTTTTATGCAAAGTCCCCCACCGTCAGAGACTGAACAAGAACTACACGACGGCAAGTGAGGCCTGTTCCCTTCACCTGCCTGACTGATTCTAAGCAGCTGTGAGTGTTGAACTCCTTCAGTAGCTGTTCACGCTCGGCATGAGCACAGCTGTGAGAGAAGCAGGTCCTCATTAGGCTGAGAAAAATGGTAAAAATGGTCAAAAGGCCTGTATTTGTATAGCGCTTTACTTTGTCCCTAAGGACCCCAAAGCGCTTTACACTACATTCACCCATCCACACATTCACACACTGGTGATGGCAGCCACATGTAGCCACAGCTGCCCTGGGCGCACTGACAGAGGCAGAACTAAAGCCAACAGAGGTCAGATAAACAGTGTGGTACAGTAAAGAGAAGCAACGTGCTGGCCAGCTCAGCAACACCCAAATTAAATTTAAAAAAAATCACAAAACACAAATTAAGTGGATGACGTTAAAATTGTGTCCTTGGTTAATACAAACGTCTCAACAGCCAAGACGAAGGTGTGTTACTTCAACTCAACAAGAAAGTGATTGGATACGATTTCACAAAGTAAGAATGACCCACAGCATCAGTCACGGTCAGTCACCTGACCAAGGCCCTACACAGCTGACACAGCTCTGACAGACAGAGTCACGTCCGTCACACGTACTGGCTGAACTGGTTTTGGAAGAACTCAAGTTTATGAATGGAACTGAAAAAACAACAACAGACAAACAAACCCACAACAGATTGTTGTTAGTTAGCGGGGAGATGCAGGACTGTCTACATGAATTTATTTCACTGTTGTCATGGCAACGTGCACTTTCCTTTCACATCATCTGTTCTCATCTCTCTCAGCTCCTGGTGACACTACGACAGCACCGGCCACGCCCACGTTGAAAAGCCACTAATGAATATATCAGCTGTGCTAGCACTGGCATAATGCTTACACACGCACCAATCAGCTGGTATTTGTTTACTCGAACACATCTGGAAACATCTAGAACATCGGTCACACCAAGACTCCCACGCTGTTTGAAGCCAAAGCAGCGTCGTTCCTACAGATGATCTTAGATTGATGGGCGGTCACTGCACAGGTGCCCACAGATCTGCTCCATCACAGTAATAACAGGTAATGACAGACGTGTGCTGAGTTACAGTACGCACCCTGTGCCCGTCGGTGACGTGAGTCTGTGACGGCACGATCAGTATAAACGCTGCTACTTTGCCTCTCAGACTAATTACATTGAAGAGCATCAGCACATCTTTCTGAATCAAATGACAACAGAAAGCTTCTCTGCACACGTCTTAGTATCTGCAGCTTCCCGTGCGATATTTGTCTCTGTTTGAGGAAAAAATACTACAATGCCTAATTAATGGAGTGTGAACCTGTTGGAGGATGTGCAGATTCCTATTAAAGTCTTCCTGTAAAAGCAGTTCATTAAATTCCCTCTAGTTTGCATTTAAATCAATCTATCCAGCCATTAGAGACGCTCACAGGAAAGGAAGCGCATGCTCCTAATTGGACGTACTGGTTAATTTAAATGGAGGCTCTGGCAATTGGAGCAGAGGCCAAAGTGCTTTTTTAATTGCTTTACAAACACACACGAGGAGGTGCAGAGAAAACATGTAATTGTTTTCCTTAATGGTGTTATTTAGCCAGTTAATCAAATGATCGCTGCAGGACTGCAATCAACCCTCGAAATTGGCTCATTCTTCATATTTCATAGAAGAAAATGTAAGTTAAGGTTTCTCAAATGTGACAATTTAATCAGACAAATTCACACACGAGAAATAAAGTGGCCAAGAAAAATGGTTCTTTTCAAACATTAATTACTGAATTAGAGCAAAGAGACAACGTGCTTATCAAATATGTAACCAACATGTCAGAGCCGAGGGCTGGAGGACCAGCAGCCTTACTGGATGCAGACGGTCGGGCATCACCAGAGAAATGACCCAAAAACAAACTCACTGATTTAATTACTATAAAAAACAAAACTCAGTGACTTTGTATTTTTACAATGAGCAGCTGATTACTGAGTGAAGTATAACTGTGACTGATTCTTAGACTACGAGCCGGCTTCGCGTGATTTACGGTGGGTCTGTGTTCATGTGTGGACAGAAACATTTAGTTACATCCGGCTGACATTCCTCACCGTTCCTGTGCACAGATGGATGCCTGTGGCCCCCTTTGGGAATACTTAGGCTGAAACATGTTCAGCGTTGGGAGACACCAGTGACATTTCCTGCAGCACTTCCAAGGAAACCTTGTTACCATATCATCAGACACTATATGAGACGGGACTTTACGCCATTTATCTGGATGTGCCGAGTACATCTGATGGACTGCTGATTTGTTCCTTATTCCTGATCTTTACACACATAACACACACACACTTTACAAACGTTCACACAGGTTTCTGAAAGTCGTTCAGTAAACCTGGTTGATGTTACAACGAGCTTCTGTGCACACAGAGGCTGAAAACAAACTCTGTGCTGCTGGATTCATGGTCATTGCAGCAGTTTTTTATTGTACTGCACTTTTATTGACAATGATGACTGTAATATTTTCCATAGACAACAGATCAGATCCCTTCATGTCTCTGCTTCATCTGCAGTCACTGTGGGTGTAATGAACACACAGCAAACACACAGTCACAGTATCAGTTATTGATTCATTAGAAATGCTCCAAAAACAACCAAAGCACATGCAGACGTCCACGGCAGCCGTGGGAAACTACACAAAACTATTTCTGTAAATACCACCAGTGTTGGTCAAGTTACCTGAAAAAAGTAATCAGTAACTAATTACTGATTGCTTCCCCCCAAAAGTAATCCCATTACTTTACTGATTACTTATTTTCAAAAGTAATTAATTACTTAGTTACTTAGTTACTTTTTAAAAACACGATTCACAACCTGAGTAGGTGATAAAGTGATAGATCTTTCAGCCCAATTCTACTTTTTCTGCATAATCCATCATACAAAATGTAATCAGATGGAAAAGTCTCTTTTTAAAACTTGTTTTATTAGTTTTAATCTTTTAACTTTATGCATCAAGCAAACATTTAATTATATGCAACATTCTCTGACTGGAATAAATTAGTTTAACATGTAAACCTATTTTCTGCACATTCCAGCACATAAAATAAAATATTTTGTGTGTTTACACTCAGTCTTTCAAATAGATGCAAGTAAAACACAGCAGAACATAAATAAAGTCAAAGACTCAGCGGTCCTGTTGCTCTATTTTCACCTGTAAAGCAGGAGTGGGGCAGGCGGAGGTTTACCCTGGTGCAGGTGTGCCGCGGTCAGTGGAAGAATCCGCGAGTTTCTCTGTGAGTTTCCCATCACGTCGTAGCTACTCGGTGCTTGTTGGAAGTTTAGGGGTTTTTTCGCTGTAAAAAGAAGTTTTCTTCCCACGCAGGACGCTAGTGTTTTTGTCACTTTTTATGGAATCAAACTCAAAGTAATGTGAGTACTTCCACGCTTTAAACGCTGCACGCTCATACTCTCTCCGCACTCGATATATGATCCATTGTTGATCTGCACACAGCTGTTGTCACTAACGTCGCACTCGCTTACGTCACTGTCGTGAGACACTCTCGCAAAAAATCACGGTTTTAGTAACGCAGTAACGCAGCGTTCCTACGGGAAAGTAACGGTAATCTAATTACCGATTTTGCAATAGTAATCCCTTACTTTACTCGTTACCGTCTCTGACTACCACAAACATGTACTTAAACAGATAATAGCTGGAGTTTTAATCTGCAGGAAGGGCAGCTGCAGCTACATGCACATCCCCGTGCATCCCTGCAGGTCGCTGCCTGAGTGGGAGGAAGATTGTTGCTCGCTGGTGCGAGCTAAGGTTAGCACGGACACGTGCAGCAACGGCACGACACATCTCGCCAACTCTCAGCACTTAAATACTAATTACTGACATCGCTGAGAGAGCATCAGACAAGCGATGATCACTTGACTGATGGTTACAGTAAGTGCCGTGACTCAGTCCAGCACGGCATTTCAGTAATGACTTGATCTTTCTTCAGCTGCTTTGATGGGCTCTGTCTTTACAGTTTCACCGACCTGCAGTTTGTTCTTGTTTGAACCCAGTTCATGGAGCCTGTTTTGCTTTTTCCCTCGACCAGGAAACACGGACTCATTCTCGCACTCGCTGCTGTTTCAGAAAGCTGCGTCTCTGCTCCTTCCTCACTGTCATTAACTCATGTTTCCCCTCTGGACAGAGCAAAGGTGCCCGGACGTCCCCGCATGCCGTCCAAACCACGCTGGCTTCCACATGGCAAAACTCTTTCTGTTTCCATAGTAACTCTGCCGTTACAGGGAGAGGAGCACGTAGGAGGTTGAGGTGGGCGGGTGGACGATGGAGTGGGTCGGTTAGAGAAAAACGTTCACTACATTGTGATATGTTAACAACTAACAGCCTGTCAAGGCCAACTGTAATGAGAACCTTCTCAAAGCTCCACTCTGTGTGCACGAGTCTGTGCGAGCGCGCACGTCGTTACACTCTGATGTGGAAAATCATTTCAGTGGGAACTGCTGCTCTCTCCTGCTGCTTAGTGAGTGGATGACGCTGGATTTGACGAGTGGGAGGAATAAAATAAAAAGGAAAGTGACCAGTAGAGAAGAGCAGCAGAGTGCTCGTATCCTACAATCATTACACTGTCATGTTTTTATATGAAGCCACGCCAATCCAAAGCAGCTACGCTTTTCCCTCTGAGTCACAACTCTGGGGTTTGCTTTGTTTTCAGGTTTGGACACGCACAGTGAGGGAGACAAACGTGATTCATCCTTTCACAAACTCATGAAATGCATCCTTCACTTTCACTTTCAAAGAACGTTTCTGACCCGTGAGGTCGCAGAGACATCCAGGCACTGATACTCACAATAATACGTGATATTGCTGCAGGCGCGAGGGCACCGAGTCGTCCCTCAGGAGCGGTGAGGCTGGCTTTCCACCATGCACTGGTTCCCTCTCTTGCAGGTTCATCGGTGCACGTTTCCCTCCTCCTCGCAGAATCAGAAACTAAGTAGTGTCTTTGTGTGCTTCAGAAACATGCCAGCTGACGGTCCTCTGGAGTCCGTCCAGGTGTTTGGACATAAAACCCACCACAGCAGTTTCCCAGTGCAGGAGGGGGACGTCCTGATCAGGGTGAACGGCAGACCTGAGGAGAGGGTGGAGCCTGCTACGCTCCAGAACAAGCTTCTGGAGCCAGTGCTGCGGAGCGTGGCACCGCACAGATCTACACCAGCCATGTCCACAGCCCTGCTTGCATACTACCAGAAGGATGTGGATGAGGCCTCTGAGAAGGAGATCCAGGACATCCTGATCCAGTACGACAGTGGTGATTTTCCTTCTTTTACCTGATGTGCTGCTTTTGACGATGGTTGTGTAATGATCCCGATAAAGGTCAAAGGGCACAACATGCAAGTTTCATAAAGCACAAGTTCTTAGAAGTATTTGCTTCCCGTCCTTACACTGTCCCGGCAGAAAGCCCACTCTGCTATCAACATCAAAGGTGTGCGATGAAAGGAGCGATGGGACCGAGGGGAGACGCAACAAACCAAGGTTACAGAGCATGACATCACTCGGGCCCACTAACCGTGGATTCAGCTCTGCACTCAACACTTTGTGCAAATGCACGACAAATAAGCCGGTGAAACGGAGGCATTAGAGAGAGCTCAAAGTGAAGCAGTGCTGCAGAGCTGCTCTGAATCTGACTAATCATTCTCTTTGTGTAATCTCATCATATGACCTGATGGAAATGCAGTTTTAAAACACCTTCAGATTAGCTGGAATTGGCCTCATTTCAGACACACACACACACTTTGTGCTCATAAGTCCCATGAGACTTATGAAGGGTAAATCTGAGCTGTGCGATCTGTTAAATCCAACTCCTTTGGATTTAACAGATATGCAGGTTTTCCCAGTGTTCCCGCTCCAAGTGTCGTTCAGGTCCAACAGCCTCGACGTCTCTCACAGCCACAGGACTAAACTCTCTCATCATCATCTTTTCTTTGGCTTCATCCTCTTTAACCTAAAGAAACATTACAATTAAAATGCCACCAGCATTTCACTTATTAAACTTACTAAACATGAAATTCAGCTTAAGAAGTGAACATGCGTCATTATTCACACCGGCTGTTTCCTGCATGTAGTCCAGGACACAGCGTCTGCCATATTCATAACAAACAGCAGTTAAACTGCATTTGTATGGGTCAGTTCTGTATTTAAACAGACAGTGCACCCTGCTGTCTGCTGCTCGTTCACTAACAGCACAGCGTGGTGGTGCACAGACCGGCTGAACACAGGCGAGCAGGCTGACGTACGCTGCACAATAACAAAGCATTTGGCTTCAACACTTGTAAATGCTGAGACACAGACTCATCTCTGGCTTTCTTGCTACATTGCATCTGTATTCACACAGAGGTCTAAATACAGGTGGTGAACAAGCAACAGGTTTAACTAGAATCATGAAAAACATAGAATAGCATCAGTGTAGCTTAAACTCACTGGGAAACTTGCTAGCAGTTTAGCATGACAGCATGGGTTCACCGTCTCTGTAGCAAACCACTAACCCCCTGCACTCCCTGATGCTGGGGCCTCTCTCAGCACACTGAAGGATTAAGCTTCCTGCCACAAAGCAAAGACGGTTCAGGAACACTTTGAGGAGCACAACAACAAGCTGGCTTTGACTTGGCCTCCTGTGCTGGACAGACACGCCTGATCTGTGGAAGCCCCGCCTCACAGCTTAGCACGATTTAGCAGGTAGTCATGATGCTTTGCCTGATCAGACTATACTCCAGCTTCCTCCCATAATCCAAAGACATGCAGTTAGTGGGGTTAGGATACTGAATGGGTTCATATTGCCCAGAGGTGTGAATGCAAGTTCACATGTGTGTCTGTCTGTGTGCTGGCCGTGACTGCTGACCGCTGCCCGGGACAGATCCAGCCCCCTGTGACCCTGATGAGGATAAGTGGAGGGAGGGTGGATGGATGACACCGATCATTCATCCATCCACCCTCAGCATTTTCACTACTCAGCACCTGCATTATTCACCAGATCTGCCTCCCCACATCACCTATGTGTCTCCAAAATGAGTAAATGAGAACACCTTTATACGAGAGGCAAAAGCACAGCGACAGAGCAGGACTGTGTAACGTGCACGCCGACAGAGGTGCACGAGGAGATGATCTTGAAGCAACATTTGACCAAATTAAAAACGAGTCTTATTTATTTATTTGACACGCAGAGTGTTACTGGACCAATGTTCTTGTTTTAGATCTGAGTTCTGCCTACATATCCCACCATCAGCAGGAGAGTGTGTCTGAGTACAGCCTGACTTTACAGCACAGGGTTCATCCAACACCCGTCAACCTAAATCCACAGTGCAGCCCTGAACCTGGACCGTCAGTGTAACATTGTTACATGTGTGTATGAGCCACCTTTTAAAATCCTTTCAATGTCAGACTTTGTCACACACACACACACACACACACACGCGCACACACACACACGCACACACGCACGCGCGCGCACGCACGCACGCACGCACACACACGCACGCACGCACACACACACACACGCACACACACGCACACACACACACACGCACACACACGCACACACGCGCACACACACACACACACACACACAGTGACCATAACAATAACAGATATGAACGCTCACTGTGCTCTGTTACACAGCGTGCTTTCACCCATGACCTGCACATGTGATGATGATCAGATTTACAGGTGAGTAATAAGCTCAGTGTGTACAGATTCACTCTAAGGACGATGTCCTAACCCGATCCAGCTGGAGTGCTAGAGGACGTGTAAGGGTAGCAGGCAGAGTTAGCTTGTTTTGTGTAGTGAGCTCTGTGTGTGTGTGTGTGTGTGTGTGTGTGTGTACCTGTGTTCGAAGGATCTCTCCTTTGGTAAGCTGCATGTCTCCAGTGAGTTCTTTCACAGTGATGCCCAGTGGCTCCAGCCGCTTACCAAAGTAGTTCGTCATCTCAGCCGCCAAGGCTTTCATGGGAGCCACATATACGATCTACAGAGAGAGCGGCGTGGAAATGAATGTGAGTGGAGGAGAGAGAGTGGAGCAAGGTTGTAGACGGGGCTGAAAGGACACTGTGGTGATAAATGAGCAAAGAGGGGCAGCATCATTTGTTCCCCAGCTACCAGCACAAATCAGTTTATTGTGAAATGTCACAGCGCTCGCATGGATAAAATGTAATGGTGATGTATGAAAAGCAGCTTTTGTCACTGCTGGTGTTTGTCAGTGTACGAGCTTTTATACAGAACAAAGACTGTCTGCGTTATTGATGTGTGTGTGGATCTGACACTGGGTTTAAGACCAGTGCTTTTAGACCAAGCTGTCAGCACTGCCAGTGTTTCAGAGTCTGTTTCCAACTGTTGCTATTTGTCATTTTGACCACCGCGATCTTCTGCTTTTCTAACCCAGCACTGACAGATGAACTACAGAGACTGGGTGGACGAGCGCCGCGTGGCTTTACAGCGCACACATTCATGAACAGCTGATCATAATAATGAGGTCATCATTATTCACCAATCAAATTTGATAACAGATCATCACTCAGTCATCGGCTCAGCTTCAGCCTCTGAAGAAAACAGCAGAGACTACGTTGTCTTTGCTCAGCACAGACGCATTCATACACATAAACCGTGTCGGGTGTGTGAACATGCAGGCCGATTAGCTCCGCCCACATTAAATGCAGGCTCGTTTCTGTGAATGAACATGTTTAAAAGGCATTTAGCATCAACCTTTAATACAAAGGCTGTTTTATGAAACATCACATCTCTGTCACATGTGGCAAAGTTACACTTAGTCCCTCAGTAGATGTGAACTGTAACAGCTGTAGGCAGGAAACTCAAAGTGCTGCAGTTTTCCATCCCTGAAATGCCATTGGCTGATTGTAATAACGTACACTTCTCACAAGAGTTAAGGGGACACTCGACCCAAAGTCAGAACTACACCCCTGAACCTGCTTTGGTACCTATCAGAGTAATGGTTTGGTGGGCGGTGCCAGCAGCCCACCGCTCTCCCCTTACACTTCCTGTCTGTTGATGCTTGTCGTTCGTTTCCTTCTCAGCAGTGACAGCATGAGATGGTACCGTTACACTGACTGCTTTAGTATTTAGCATCATCAGTGCTGTAGATCCTTTCAGACTCACAAGACAATCCAGGGAAACGTCATTACTGGAGTGAAACAACACGCAAACTGTTCAAATCAACCGAACAAACTAAGCATCTTAAAGGAAGTCCCATGACTCCAGCTCCCCTTGACTTCAACCTATCAGAGCAGTCCTATTAACTCCCTGCCTGAAATCTCAGCGAGTGATCTGAATCCCTGCAGGGCTTGTGTGAAACTTCACCAGGGAGCAAACTGAATCTCCAGGACTCGTGTTCAAAGGCTCCGAGCCGGAGTGACACTACAAACAGGAAGCAGTTATCACAAAGACATCTTTCCTTGACAGATCAGTACACTACAGCCGTTTCAGCATAAACAGCACTAATAAGTGTAGCTGATGTGTGCATCGCACCTTGAATTCATCTTTCTTAATGACGCCACCGGGCTGCAAGTGCTGACGGATTTCATGGAGAACTGTCAGCATGGCGATGTTGGTCTTGCCAGCACCGGTTGGAGCACAGATCAGGAGGTTCTCATTGGTGTTGTAGGCCGTCTCGAACACTATGGACTGAATCCTGTTCAGGCGCTTCATGCCCTTGAACACCAGCTGCCCAATCTGTGGAAATAAGACAAGCACACAGAATTATGACCCCTGAAAACCACGTGTTCGAATATGTGTGATCAGCAGTGCTGTTACTTTGTGACCGACCCGTGTCAGCGCACAGAGTGTCTGTCAAACAAACACCAAAGGACCACAGACACAGGAGATGTATTTGCAACCCACATGTGTGCTGTAGTGGGTGTGGACATATGAGGTCCCGCCCCCTGCCCCCCTCACACACAAGCTCCCACCCTTTGATATGCAACAGGAATGTAGACGCTAACAGTCAGTGTATCATTTTATCACTTTGTAACAAATAAGGATTAGTGATAAGCACCTTTGAAACACTGGCACAGGAGAGGAGGGAGGGAAGTCTTCACCATGACACTTATACTGGGACTATAAGCTGTACTGGGACTATAAGCTGTACTGGGACTATATGCTGTACTGGGACTATATGCTGTACTGGGACTATAAACTGTACTGGGACTATAAGCTGTACTGGGACTATATGCTGTACTGGGACTATATGCTGTACTGGGACTATAAGCTGTACTGGGACTATAAGCTGTACTGGGACTATAAACTGTACTGGGACTATATGCTGTACTGGGACTATATGCTGTACTGGGACTATATACTGTACTGGGACTATAAACTGTACTGGGACTATAAACTGTACTGGGACTATATGCTGTACTGGACTATAAGCTGTACTGGGACTATATGCTGTACTGGGACTATATGCTGTACTGGGACTATAAGCTGTACTGGGACTATAAGCTGTACTGGGACTCACTAACACACTGAAGCACAGAGGCTAAGGTTGGCCTGTGCAGTCTGACCTGGCTGCAGTGAAGCTCGCAGGACTTTCACACACACGGTGTGAATACTTCTGAACTTTCTATTTTCAATAAAATGTTAGCACACTGACTGATGAGGTGCTGCCCATGTTTAGATATAACATGGTCAGGTTACATTGAATTTCTATCCATGCATCAACATGATCCATGTGGCTGAGTAATAATAAAGCAATAATGCTGCTAATTCCTGTCTGAAGCCACTGATGTCAGTTATCACTGATGTCGTTTGTCATTTATTCTGAAGAGACCAACAGAATCACTGTGCTGCACTTGTTCCATCACATCTGTGCAGACGTGAAGCTTCTGCATATGCAGGCCATGAATCTGAGACGTGGCGTTCTGACTGACGGGCACCGCGTGTGCCAGAAGACATTGCTTTTCTACTGTCAGCACAAAACCACCGTACACATATTCTCCATCAAACTGGCAACACCCATGTATATTTAATGTTAAAATCTGAATTCATAATGCATGCGCACTGACTAATTCTGCAGGTCAACACGCTCCTTTCTGCTAAATAAAAGGCAGGCTATTTGAATCCCGCCCACTGTGATGACCCCCACTGTGGCTGTGACTGTGATTCTTGTGGTATTTTGGGTTCAGATAAACTGAGCAGATTCTGGTTGTGCCGTTAAACTAAATAAAGACTTAGGGCCGTACCTGTACAACAAACCCTGGTAGGCACTGACGCAGCTCAGGACGGGTTGCCCTTGGCAACTAGATCTGGGCCAATGCCAACTATTCAGTGCAGTCGCTGGCAACTGCATTTTTTATGACAGAAACATGCTGCAGACTCCTGACATGCAGTACAGACAGGTGATCAGTTACAGCCCGTGTCAGTGACTCAGTGTGAACACAAACTGGAAAATTAAAAAGCATGAAGGAGGACGAGTGCTGAGACGAGCTGCCACTCAACCTGGCCTCTGTCCGCCTTCACCATGGCAACAGAGTGTGGGTGATGGCCCTCAATCTACACTGCCTCTGATAAGGACGGAAACGCCCACTGTGAAGGACAGGTGGTGCCACACACACACACACACAGTACAAACACACACACACACACACACACACACACACACACAGTACAAACACACACACACACACACACACACACACACACACACAGTACAAACACACACACACACAGTACAAACACACACACACACACACACACAGTACAAACACACACACACACACACACACACACAGTACAAACACACACACACACACACACACACACACAGTACAACACACACAACACACACACACACACACACACACACACACAACACACAACACACACACAACACACACAAACACACACACACACACACACACACACAACACACACACACACAGTACAAACACACACACACACACACACACACACACACACACACACACAGTACAAACACACACACAGTACAAACACACACACACACACAGTACAAACACACACACACACACACACACAGTACAAACACACACACACACACACACACACAGTACAAACACACACACACACACTACACACACACACAGTACAAACACACACACACACACTACACACACACACACACACACACACACAGTACAAACACACACACACACACACACACTACACACAGGTGAGGCTTTTCCTTCTAGAAAAGCAACCATGAGAAATGTGAATAAAACTGTTTCCTCTCATGGATGCGACTTTTGAAAGAACAAACACACACACACGCACACATTTTACACACACACAATAATAATGATTTTAAACAGTGACTTTAAGCTGAGAGTGATAAAGAGTGCTCAGCCTGTGGGTTACTGTCAGCAGTGAGAATGCTTCCTGAAAACAGAAACACGGTTATGAAGTGCAAATGAGATTATCATAGGGCGTAAAAGCCACTGTCCCTGACTCGCACAGGGACGTGACGACACACTGACAGCATCTCAGATCCTGTATGAAAGCATTGTGAACACAATACTTCTCATCTACAGTTTGTGTTTTCACTCACAGATACAAATACATTTCCACTCAGTGTGGAAAAGAGAGTGGTGTAAGGACTGTGGAAACAAATTTAACTCAGGTACAATAACATGAAGACTGACTTACATGATGGTTACTGAGACTGAGGTGCAAACAATCGATATGCGCTTTCATCAGATGATGAAACTTTTAAATGTTTCTCTGATGTTGATCCACAGCAGGAGGCAGGTGATGTGTATGAGAATAAAAAAGAGGTCATGTGATGTGTGACATGGTGACTTGGTGTTGTCTCTCTCTGTAGTGGAGTGTCACTTCCTGTTCCAACACACAGTGGTGTTTTTGTGTATAAATAACTTCTTATTTCATAGTATAATCCTCACGTGCTTCATCCGAAGCACACTCTCTGTGTACTCACTCCCTAACTTTACTGTTTCACTAGCTTAGCTTAGCTCGTAGCCGACTGGCTAGCAGCATGGCCTCTTCACCTGTTCCTCCTGCACTTTCCTTCTCATTGTAATAATAATAATAATAATAATAATAATAATGATGATGGACTGCATCTATATAGCGCTTTTCGAGACCCTCAAAGAGCTTTACAATTCCACTATTCATTCACTCTCACATTCACTCACTGGTGGAGGCAGCTACAGGTGTAGCCACAGCTGCTCTGGGGCAGACTGATGTCAGATGCTAGTTACTCCTCGGCCTCCTTTAGCAGTAATGATACCTGTAATAAATGTAGCATATTTGCAGCTCTGGAGGCCAGGATTACTGAATTGATACACCTGAAGCTAGCCAGGCCCCTGTAGCTGGTGCAGCCGAAGGCAGCATAGGCCCCGCTAGCTGGCCCCCGGGAGCCTGCCCCAAGCAGCCGGGGAAACAGGATGGCTGGGTGATGTTGAGGACGTTTCCTTGCCACGTCACCAAAGTGCTTGCTCACAGGGGGTCATTTGATTGTTCTCTGGATGTATTATTGTGTATTATTCTACCTTACATTATAAAGCACCTTGAGGCGACTGCTGTTGTTGGTGCTGTATAAATAAAATAGAATTAAATAGAATTGAAATGGAATTATAGAATTCTATTTGCATAATTATAATATAGAATGATAGACTTCTAATAACATAATTCTCATTCTAAGTTCTCATTGAGCCAGCTGACCAGTACAGATAATAAAACTTGGAGTGCTCCTCCTTTCTTCTGTGCTCCACTTCTCTCACTAAGGCTTCTTCAGGATGCCTTAAGCTTAGACAGCAGTATTATTTTTTCAAGGATTCATTAGAAATATGTCATCACTTTCCTGTTCCCCTCGTTTCAATCCAACCCTCACAGAAAGAAATAATTAAAGATGTGCATGTCAGGCAAGGATATGCAGAGTGCTGTTCGGAAGTTGGCCCCGCAGCCCAGAAGGGAAGAAGTTATTAATGCATCAAAGAGCAACTTTATTAGAGCCCACTTAAGCTGGAAGCAGTAAGTGGCTGAGGTTTCAGCGAGGTAGGGTGGGGGCCCACAGGCTTGTGATGAGGACACCGGTATAGCTGTGAATGCTTACGTGTGACAGCTTGGACATTTTGGGCCAGAGTTACTAACCGGGACTAATTAACATAATAATATCATCACCATAAATAACGCCTTAATTTATGAGCACAAACATCGGTGATTTCACTGGTCAGTGTGCGCTACCAGAGCCCAGCTGGACACGGAGCCTATCCCAGCTGTGATAGGGCAAAAAGCTGACTGTGCTGGTCTATCACAGGCTTTCCATATATATCTATTTACTAAACAATAAATACAAGTGCAAGCAAATAGCTGTCCAGTGTGAATAAATAGTTTGCTTTAATTCATGACGTGAAGAAATATTTGTAAATAGGACATTCATGTAGTTGTAAAAAAGCATGATAATATATTAAGTAATCCAAAGTATTCAGAATACGTTACTCTCATTGAGTAACGTAACAGAATACGTTACAAAATACATTTTGGGGCATGTAATCTGTAATCTGTAATGGAACACATTTTAAAGTAACCATCCCAACACTGATCACAGCAAATGTGCCACAGCCTGGAAGAAAATGTAAGATTCAACAATACTGCGGCCGTCTCTGCTAACCCTCCTGGTATAAATTTGAAAATTCTACGTAATTTTCCAAAAAGTTGACCTTTGACATTTATCTTAA